ATGTATCATCAAGTCGGGGTTGCTAAACAGACATAGTCCCAAACCACAACACAACTAGTTTGAATGTCCGTCTCACTCTCAACGCTGTGGGAACGCATCGAAGAAAATGATAGACATCATGCAGAAGTACCGGATTCATTGAGATTCCGGGCTCTGTGCAGTGAAACCTGTCTTGAAGCATATAGTAGTGGATTCCGAGTTGACCGGAAACCGGCATGTGAGCAGCGTGACCGAATTGCACGCGACACCGTTTCGTACGTTGAGACCGTAGGGAAATCCCAACGTATCTGCTATCAACGGTCTTTGTATCAGACCCACTGCTTCATGACTAACGTACTGGTGATCGTGTATAACAGCACGCTAGCTTTTCAACAAGCAACCTGGTTTCTAAGGGGTCGTGTGCGTACCAAGATCAGATTGGCCACAAATTCAGTGTACGTTTGTTTTGAATGATGCATTGAAAGTTCTAATTTGGACGCGATTGGAGAAAACCCTGGAAGGAAACGAGTGGTATTCACGTACTCTATTATAGCGAAAGACCTTGACCTGTCGGTTGTGATTGAATGGTTGCGGGGCATTTTGACTGCAAGACGCCCAGTTGTGAGTGTTTATCGGCAGCTTCGACGCCTCTTTCCATCGTCTGTTTATCAGATTTGTCACAGTGCACGTGAGATTAATCCTTAGTCAGACGAATGTATTCACCATACACGAGTCTATAAGCCTACGTACAGTGTACCCAGGGCAGGACTAAGAACAACCGAGTTACTGCTAATACACTCATCTGCATACCAATTTGGTATTGATGGAGGACCTACCTGGAACCCAATTGAATCTCTCGTTTATGATACAGGGCGTTCACTTGAGATGGCTCAAGTGGGTAGAGCGTGAATTTACTAACCGAAAGGTCCGTGGTTCGAGCCCGACCTCTGCCTCTCGACTTCCCCTGTTCTAGGCTTAGGCAACCTGGTAGTATCTCAGCCCTCGTGCTTCCTTCGGGTGGCATGGCAGCTAGGCAACGAAATGGAGTTACAGCTGAACGATTTGTTTTTATTTATTATACGTTCACTTGAAGAACGTCATAAACGAGAAATTCAGCTGGTTTCCCGGTGAGTCTCTCTTCAAAACCAAATTGGCATGTGGGTGAATGTACTGCACAAATTTCGTGTAATTTGAGTTCAACTAGAACACAAGGTTGACAAAAAATCGAGGACTGCGCCTACCTGATTAGCCAGCTTCAAGAAGGGTAAAAGCGGTTGCGGGCTTTCGTAGAATTTTTCAGCAACCTTATGAGTAGTGTATCACGTCTACACACCAACCGACTTAGTCTGTCAACATCTAAGGATCGATATTTGTTCACTGCGTAGGAGTGCCTACGCACGGTGTAAAAGTCGGTCTATGGGTGACGGAACAAGTGTTAACGTTCAATCATTTGTACACTGCTTTGGTGAGTTTCAAAGTATGTTCAATTAATCATAGTTTGGGAACCGGTCGTGGGCTGTCGAGGAGTTTTCAGCAACCTTGTGAGTAGTTTCCTTTATGAAAATATCCTGCGATATTTCGGGTATCGTACCAACTGAATCATGGGGCGGCCTGTGTGCAGCACATTCAGTTGTAGCATACCATGAACGAGAGATTCAGTTGAGTCTTTCGTGAAAACCAAATTGATTTGCAAATGAGTGTATATCTCGAGAACTGAACATGCCTTCGCCTCCGTACACGGTTTATAACTGATAAACTGATTGATTGATTGATTGATTAGTTGGTTGGTTGATCGAAGTGAGATTCGCGGTGCTGTTCGAAACAAAGTTTTTCACGATCGCGAAGTATCAGGTACGTTACTTCGAACCGGAAGAGTTGTACACGTTCAACCGGTTACCGAATATTTTCGCCGAATCGGCTGGCCGCAACCCATCGAGCACCTTTGCATGCTAGCATAGTCTGTGTATAGTTCGATTTCGTGCTACCTACTTACACCTAAGACAATATAGAACATGTGCTAGTCTGTTCGAGCTTCCTTCGCCAGTTCATCTAGCCCAGTGTGCATACAGACGGCGTTTTGTCAACACTCGCCTAAGAGCAGACACGTACACATGCACACACTGCATTGTCGAACATGGGTGATGATTTGCATTGTGTGACCACATGTATTTATACAGTGTAGTCCGATTTCATCATGCATTCGGTGGTTACCCTTGGCTATTCTCTCCCACTCACAAGTCATTCATTCTCCTTGCTGTCACCTGACCCGTCTATCGGTTTTTGCAACGCTTAAACCGAATAGGTTGGTGAGAGACATGCCAACTGTCTTGAGCAACGCCTGTCTGGTGAATTATGCTCATCCGAAACGCGTAAGTTATTTATAACTTGACTTGATTGCCCATGTTAAAGATTCTCATCCTGTCCACCTCAATACAAATCAAACTGATCGATGTACGGCGTGGTTTCATTCAACTCTCTGGTTGAAGAGCACCACAAGACTTTTCGCCGAAATAAAACTTCCCGCAGGCAAATAAGTGGCTTAGAATATATGATTAAAATACAAAATCGATCAGAGTAACCAGGCTGGTGGTTTGGTGGACATACAGGTGAAGAGACATTCGGAATGCAGAGCTGTGTGATTCGGACTCTTGGGTAGGACCGAATAGACTTTTTGAACCCGTTTCCCAATCCTGGTGCTACGTTGTGTCCGGTATTGCCTATTGAGTATAAAACTCTGGATGACTAACTGTTTTTTTCTGCGCGACTGCGGCGATTACTGTGTCAGATAAGTGAGGTAAAAGAAGAGGTGTGAAAGGACGCACACTTATCCCCCACCTGGAGGTACCAACACATAGTGACATCTTTTAAGGAGTGGTTTCTCCAAACAGATCAACTGTGTGGCAATCCATCGTTTATCCATCCGGAACCTGGTACTGTGATTTCCTGACGGTAGAAACTTCCTTAGTGACTGCTTACAGCCCATCCAATCCATCGTTTATCCATCCGGAACCTGGTACTGTGATTTCCTGGACGGTAGAACTTCCTTAGTGACTGCTTACAGCCCATCCTCATAAATGGGTTCCGACGATTCTACTGACAACAACCAGGATGAACCTTTCCCCCGCACTACCAGCTACCTTGCGGTGTTTCTTAAACTGATGAGTTTACTCAGGTACTCAAATGCACACTTCACAGTGTCCACGGGTTATGGGACGATCGTTTTCGACAAGTACTGCCGGTGGCGTTTGTCAAACACCTCTACAACGATATCATCTAGTAGCACCACAATTGTTTGGACTTGCTACCACTGAGGTTGTTCTTTTTCGGTTACTTACACAAGCCATTCGGCAATCGGATGTTGTTTTCTCGTGTCCTATCAGTTGCACTATCCGAACCGATAAACAATCAGACGCGTGGTGGGTGGTCGGGCTGGTAAACTGTTCTGCGCTTCCGTCTATGCGGTCTAGTTTGTTGATGAGACGAGCTCAGCGTCGGTGCCAACCGATATGTTGTTGCCTCGTGTGTGAAGCGAACCGTTCTTGTGTTTGACTTCAAACGTACCAGCAAAATTGAGGGTTGGCTTTCCTGTTTTCTCCCATGCTGTTATCTTATCAAAGTCACTTTTGAGTTTGCCTTCTTTGTAGTTAATGCGAATTTTTATTTATTGTTTGAGTGATAAAAGCTGACGACAAGCGCTCGTAAAACAACCCGGATCGCGTGTCTGTTAGTATGTGGCTAGGTAAACAGCCTACCGTGTCATCCGAAAAAGCATCGCAGCGGAAACCCTTGCATAAAAAAGTAGCACCCTTTTGGTGCCTAACTGCCATGACGGCTTGGATATTGCTAGGTTGCCCAAGTCCAGACAGGGGAAATCGAGAGGCAGAGGTCGGGTTCGAACCGTGAACCTTTCTGTTAGTAAATTCGCGCTCTAACCACCGAGCCACCTCGCCCCGCTGCGAAAACCCATATAGGAGTATTCAATGGCTCGCCGGTGAAAAATTCTTGTTTAGATGGCTAGGTAGTCCTCTTGGAGTCACCCCGGGCTCAGGGAATTCAGTTCGTTCAGTTGTGCTCAGGGGTCCGTCTGCGTAGCTTGATATGAAAGACTACTACCATATGAGTTCAGGGACGTGTGTAGATAGTGAATTATCGCACCAGCGGTGCGCCGCAGTGTTGGTTGCCTCCATCAAAAAAATCTAGAAAATTCGGTCATATTAGAAACTTGTTGGTATTACGAAGGTACCTGTTTCTTAGAACTGATAACTGATTCTTATGCTGTCGTTTTAAAGGGAAACTCTATGATAATCATAAATAATGGATTGGCTCTCCAATTCAAAACTTCATCCTAGGCGTATTTTAACCATTTCCAACTTGAATGTCATGCCTGAGTTGACAAAATGAGTTTGCATTTCCAGCTGGTTCCGCAAAGCTTATGGCAATGGAAGGTTAGGGATTTCTCTGACCCACTGTAAGCAAAGTTGGTGAGTGCCAGTTAGGAGAATTGGATTCAATCGAATCGGTGAGTTCGAGGCTAGGATACTGATTTTATCTCCTCCCTTGTGTACCAGCGTACGGCTGTTCCCTACCGAACGGAGAGGATGAGGGTCAATACTGAATTGATTGTCATTGGTCGAACCCGTGAAAGTGTCGGCGTATATGTGTAGCAGATAGCCAAATAGGGCTAATTCAAGGCCTTGCGTCCACAGCGTGAATTCTGCACTCCGTTTCTGCTACCATCTGATTGGTTGAATCCACTTGTTCATTCGGGACTATCATTTTAGCCTCTTTTGCTTGGTCTTCGCTTACCGATCCCCCAACAAACTGTAAACTACGCGTTCACACCTTCTGCTAGACTAAAAACGACTCATACCGACTCCCAGGCACCACAGCCCATCTTCAGATTGACATAAACTTTGCTGTACTGCCTTGTGCTTTTTCATGAATCCCACCAGTTCGCAGTTATCGATTTTAGCCTTCTGGATTCGATTTTTCATTGTTGTTGTTTTCACCTTGTTTCACAGCCCGCACTCTATTGTCGAACAAACACGGAGCTTCCAGCCTCAGCTTTGCTGGTTCGACGTTTGAGCAGACTGCGTAATCGAGGGGCCAAGTCCAATATGCCCTGCTGCCGAACTGCAATGGGAAGTCCGCAGTCTCAACTGAGTAGGTTGACGACATCACCACCGTCGGCGTCCGTGCCTAGCAATGCATCGGAACAGCAGCAACAGCTCAAAGAAACGGAGCCACGAGGCAAATATTTCACTGGATGCTGTGACGATAAACATTCCGCTTGTTCACCGTCCGATCTGGCCAGCTGTGAAATCGCCTTCACTATCCGCATGCATCCAGACGACCCGAGTGCGAAATTCCTGCGTGATTTGGCACTTGATGGTTTGGCGCGATGCTGCGATCACCATCATTCCGTAGCCACTCGTTCGGGTTAGTTTCTGAGTCGAATTCCGTCCCTTTCTAAATGTGCATCGCGCTTTAGTTTGAATTATCCGTTCCAGCTGTTCGCCTCGGAATACCGTACCGTACCGATTTCTGTCAGCTCTTTCATCGCCAACTTCGTAGAACAACTAATCCCAGGTGCCTTTGCCGAGTGACACCTTAGCTTGGAATCTAACGAACAGACCTACTGACCAACGTGGCAGATCTAACCTTTTAATAGTAACCGTTTGGCTTTAGCAGACAGTGCGCGAGTTCTTGAGCTTCAACGGCCGGATATTCTTCTCTCCTCTGATGGGTTGCATGCACGAAGGGCATACCACCATCGGGCGATTTGGTGTCACTCGTACTTTGAATTTTGTAAGCTCTGCTCGGTTTCTTACCAAGTGAACCAAGTGGTTAGAGCGCAAATTTACTCTCCGGGAGGCTCGTGCTTCGAACCCGACTTCTGTCTCTCGACTTCCCCTGTCTAGGCTTGGGCAACCTGGCAGTATCCCAGCCCTCGTGCCTCCTTCGTGCGGCATGGCAGCTAGTCGCCGAAGGGTTTTACAGATGAACGATTTTATTACCAAGTGAACCGTGTGACTGTTATGTACTTGCCTCGTATTTGTCAAAAGAAGTGGAATGATGTACGCTTGTGGGCTAGCGTACACGTACATGTTAGTGGTTTCTGTTGATAGACACCGTTTGGCACAAAAACTCGATACGTAACTTGTGAGTCGTGTATTTATAAATAAACTGTTTTTGTAGTTAGGTGTACTGATCGGCCGGATGCTAGCGCCCATTCAGTCACCGGGCTCAGTGAACCTCTCTGCAGTGATGCCCTCTATAGTTTCCACCTGTGGTTTGCCCCGTCAGATTCCTGGTAGGATGGCCATAGATTAACGTCTTGGTGACAACAGCCAGGGCACACGTATCTGTCGAAAACGATTGCTTTTGACTAATCTCATAGGCGACCTATGTGCATTTTACTTTGGGGCGGCAATACAGGACGGGAGAATACCGGTAGCCAATGAATCTCGCTGTGGATGACATTCGTGGCACAGCCGGACCGGCCAAAATACTGTTTGTTTGGGTGCCCTATCTCAAAAGCTGGCAGAATCTGTCACAGTTATTCGAGACCAACCCTGTGTGTTTTACCCGTCACATCATCACTTTTGTGTAGACACGCTAGATCCTGAAATTGACCCTACGTTTCCTGTCCACAGTCCATGTGACCGGTCCCATGTATGCCTAGCTAGAGTCAGTTATTCAGTTAGATCATCTTTCGACAACTATGTGACATTCGTCTGTCGGATGATGATGATGATGATGATGATGACAACAGCCAAGGCACACGTATCTGTCGAAAACGATTGCTTTTTACTGATCTTATAAGCGATCTATGTGCATTTTACTTTGGGGCGGCAATACAGGACGGGAGAATATCAGTAGCCAATGAATCTCGCTGTGGATGACATTCATGGCACAGCCGGACCGACTAAAATACTGATTGTTTGGGTCCCCTATCTCAAAAGTTGGCAGAATCTGTCACAGTTATTCGAGACCAACCCTGTGTGTTTTACCCGTCACATCATCACTTTTGTGTAGACACGCTAGATCCTGAAATTGACCCTACGTTTCCTGTCCACAGTCCATGTGACCGGTCCCATGTATGCCTAGCTAGAGTCAGTTATTCAGTTAGATCATCTTTCGACAACTATGTGACATTCGTCTGTCGATGAAGGGCAGGTTCTGCAACACTGTACTGCGCTCAGTACTGCTTTTTGGCTTTTTGGAACGAGGCCATTGGGTGGAAAAAAAACCTGACTGTTTACCTGTATCCATCAGTTTGCTTGAACCGTTACACACGCATCGTATGCACGCCGGTTTCGCATTGTTAGATTTCGGCATCTGTTTTGGGTAACAAACCAAGTGCTCGCGAACCTGAGCTTGAGAGAGTTTGGTGGTTGAGGCTCGAGTTTACGGACCAGAAGGTCTGTGACTCGAACCCAAGTTCATCTTCCCAACTGCTTTTGTGTTCGCCTGGGCAGCCTGGCAGTACCTCTGCTCTTGTGCCTTCTACCGTTGGCATGGCGACTAGGCACCGAAAGGTTGATACAGTTCAACAATACTCGCAAACTTGATTATGTGATAGAACACAAAGTGGGTACCACTTCGTAATGCACTACTCATAGGTTGCTGAAAATTCTTCGACAACCCACAGCCTGTTTCGCCCTTCTTGGGGCTCATCAGGTAGGCTCAGTCCCGGAGTTTCCGTCAACCACTTCGCTCCCTAACTTGCTTCAGTTTGGTCTCACTAGAACAACACTCAGGGTGGACGAGACAAAGGATGAGAAGCTTAACACCGAGTTTTATAAATGTTGGTTTGTGTGACCTGTTGGTGGACAGAATCCTCATCGCATGTCGAAGTCCCTGTTCCATCCATTCTCTTCTTAACATTCGATCCACTCTTCATTCATCCCCGTTTACCATCTTGTTCTACTCGAGTTCGAATGCTGTAGAAACCCGAACCAACCTTCCAACGCTCCATGGTTGTAATACTAAATTCAATGAGAATAAATTACCAATAGTAGTCATTCGGTGCGTAGCTGCCACTCCACATGATGGGCGTACGTGGGCTTAGTTACTCTCAAGTTGTCAAAGCCTACACAGGAGAAGTCGGGAAAGAGAGATTGGATGCGAACCGTGTACCTCCCAGTCATTAAGTTGGCACCTTAACCGCTGAGCCTTCTCGAGCTGGAATGAGCGCTTACCTATCAATTGGAAAAAGTTTAGAACCGTTTGGAGGAGTTTCAAATTAGTTCCGATCGCTTTTTGTCCCTCAATCTTCCACTTCAGGGTGCTTCACTTGATGATTCACCTCGGGTGCCACTGGTAGATTTTCCTTGATCTTCGTGGACATGTGAATGTTGCGACAGTTTAGTTGAGGGGAGGTGCGTAGGTTAAGTGGAATCCAGATGATAATTACTCTTCCCTGTGATGATCGCACGTCAACACGTGTTAGCTCGATTGATCCAAGAGAGCCCGACCTCTGCCTCTCGATTTCCCCTGTCTAGGCTTGGGCAACTGGCAGTATCTCAGCCCTCGTGCACCCTTCGGGTGGCATGGCAGTTAGGCACCGAAAGGATGTTACAGCCAAACAATTATTAATTATTACTATTTCTATAAATATGATGTAATGACCACAGTTCTTACGAACATGTCATGTCACAGTATAACCGTCACCACCATCACCAGCAGCAGCTTTTTTCAGCCAATTCTGTGAGGCACTCCACCTCTTTTCCGTGAACCGTCGCCATCTTCAAGCAAAATAGACATCACGAGCATTGCCGCCCAGGTCCCACAGAATCATTTGAACATCCTTGACTTTCGTACACCTTGTAACAAAAGAGCTCTGCTTCTGTAAGTTTCCATGGGTATCCGTCAATTCAGGCTCGGAGGTATCTTCTTCCAGAAGCTTCTGTAAAACATCCGCAGTCAGACTAGATTGCTTCCAAGGTCGGCATAGACGTTGCTCTACTCAACTGATCCGAATCAGCTCACGGTCGATCATGCACATTTGTTTGCAACGTGCTACGTGTCCTTCCATCTAGCGTCACCTGGTAGACAACCTGGATATCGATTGCACCCAGAAGTTACTGATGATTCGGTGAGGCATATGTGACTTTTTTTACCCGCTAAGTTGGCGATTGTCAAGTCACATATTACTGGCATACTATCTGCTAACGAGCAAACAAGCAGCTTGTGAAGCGCGTAGCCATGTCATATAGTTTCGGCACTGCGGTAATGAAATTTCGTTTCCACCTGAGTGTTTTTCAACAGCTTTATTGATTGTAGAATCAATTGTTTCGTTTTCTCGAGTTCTCCCACGTCACCTAGTCCGCGAGAAAACTCATTCCAGTATACTTAACCAAGAACTGGAGAATTAGTCTCATTTGCAAATTAATTTGGTTTTGAGAGGAGGTCAGGATGAATCGCTCGTTTATGACAGTCCGCTTCAACTGAATGTGCTGCACCAGGCCCCTTCATGTTTCCGTTGGTACGATATTCGAAATATCGCAATACGACGTAACACACTATTCACAAAATTGCTGTCCACGAATTTTCAGCAACCTTATGAGTAGCGTGTTGTGTTTGTACAAGAACTGTGAGACAGATGAATACCTTTCTTATATAGTCACAAAAACGACCGTGATTATCGGGAACTCGATAGTTACCAATTCGTCGTTCACTGATTCATCCTAGCCTTTCTCAGTAGTCGCTGCCTCACTTGTAAACTGTTCCAAAGGTTCGTGGTGTGTTTGCGTATCTATCCAAATTAAGCCAAGTCTAGTCTAAAATNAAAATGAAATAAGCCGTTCCCGCTGTGGCACCCGACGGCTAACCGAATCAGCCAAATGGAAGGCCAGGAAATGTCTCTCCTTGGGCTCTCGGAGGTGTTTTTTTCCTGGAGGGGTGGTTGCATTTGAAATAAAACTCCTTCCAGACTCTTCATCTTATTGGAGCTGTCCCTGCCGAGGGTATGTAGTGGGACTGGAATAAATAACGAGTGATGAAATTAGTGAGTAGATATGTGTGTGCGAGTTTATAGAATCTGAGTGTGTAGCTGCGTTCAACGTCTAGTCTCACGTACGCGACCACGGCCAGTACCAATCTGCAAGTGTTCGGAGGCCAGTCAACCCTAATAACCGAACATCACATCACGTGCAGGACACGGACCAAACGAAGGCATGTCCTGATTGGTCAGAATGCCAACCAATCCGGGTTGAGCATCCTTGACTGGACGCTTCTCGCCCCCTCACGGAGATTCTGACACGACCTTGTGGAACACTCTATGGTTACCCTATAAATACAGATATACTGACTCTCCTTTTGTCTCCATTAAGAGCTGTCTAGAGCTACCGTGCCTTTTAGTGTACCATAGTGGGCAGACCAAGAAGCCAAGGGACCGAACAGAGTTGCACTAACGTCCATCAGGATACAACAGG